ACGGCGATGACAAACTATAAGTAAGTCGCAGCGCTTTCTGTGGGAAGGGTTTGGCTGGCCGAGGGGAGCCCGCGTACCACTTACAGAAACCTTTGCTTTTGAAAGGTATAAAGTCAAGCTCACTCCAGGCACCCAAAAGAAGGGAAAAGGTACTGTATTAAAGCGCTCGAATCCTTTTCAGTGCTCTACCTATTGAAGCCAGCACGTTTTTTCATACTGTTTAAATCTTTCCTGTGTTTCTACAGCTGCAAAGATTGCCTTGCATAATTTTATGCAATCCAAAGAAGCTAGTGCAAGAGAAAAAGACCTGTTCCGCAGTGTAAAGGTGACTAGTTTTTCTACATAGTTTCTCATGTACAAATGTACCAGCAGCTCCAGAATGTCCACTGGTGCCATTTTGGGGGTAAATACTTCCAAACCTAAGTGTGCTGTTGCCTTTTTTTTTTTAACAGTGTTGCGTTTCTCAGTCCTGCTGGGGAAGTACTGCTTAGGCCAGCAAGAATCATTAGAAACTGAGCCTTACCAGTATCACTGGGCTTTAGGTTTCTGTATTGTGTCGCTCTTGATCTAAAATAACGTATCATCTGACAAAAGCATCATCTTCCAAGAAGTCCTCTAGTTTTGGGAGGGGAAATTCCCGCTCCCGCTGGCAGTGTGAGGAAGGGGCAGGTGCTTGCGCTGGGAGTTTTGCTGTGCTGCTCACGGCCGGCTTTCACCTGCCCCTCTCCGCCAGCAAGGGCCTTACCACCGGCCGAGTAAATGCGTCCTCTCGCTGCTCAGACAAGCCTTAGCCCGCCTGATGCAGTTTTCTTCTACTCTTTTGCCATTTCCTCCATTTCCTTCTCAAATTGGCACCATCAGTCTGCAGCACTCCCGTACCTCCTGCCGGGGAGAGGCTGGTTCCTTGCCATGCTCTTCGCCGGTGGCCTGGTCAGCCCTTGGCACCCCAGTCCCCTCGCTCCACCTGTTGTGACTTCAGCCCTCAGGTGTTTCTTTCTCATTTCCCCTCAGCGATCCCGGTTTGTCAGGCAGCCCGGACTGCTCTGTGACAGCCGCTCGCTGGCCTGGAAGAGTTCGCTGATCAGAAACATTGAATAGCAGCAGACTTAACGTTGACTTTTCCTGGCAGTCTTGCTAGAAAAATCACGATTAATGGTTAATGACCTTGAAGCAAACAGGTAGTGCCTAGGGAAGTGCTGGCCCAGCCAGCCTATCCCAGTGGAGCTGCTCTGTGGAAGCTGCACAGAATTAAGTCTTTCATTAATGAAACATGGTGCGAGAGCTGAAGGCTGACATCGGCCGCCTTTCCTTTAGGGAGGGAAGCTGGCAGAAACGGGCAGCAGACTCAGAAGCTCCAGCTGGGGTGAGGAAGATGTTCCTAAAATACTCTTCTGCTGTGTTCAATTTCTCATCTTCAATGTTTTGTAGGATACCGATTTGTCAAGAAATATTCCTGGTAAAGTGAAAGTGTCTGCACCTCATCTGCTGAACAGGAAAAAGAAGTGATTCCGTACTCGGGTTTCTCCCCACCGAACTGCCGCTGCTGCACAGGCGGAATCCAGCACCTGCAGACGGGACAGACAGACCGACCAACCGACCCCGACTGCCGTTAATGTGACTGAATTTAGCTTCCATGGTAGCAGGCAGATGAGGACCAGTTCCTGCATCGTGGTTTAGATGGACTCTTACACCTCGATACAAATAGCATAAAAACATCTAAGTAAATTGCTGGCGTTTGGTCAGTGATGTGATCTTACCCTGTTTGTTCTCTAGTGCTTTGAATGCCGGAGCTGAGCCCCCGTTCCCCGCGCTGCTGGGCAAAGCTGTGCCTGAATTTGCTGCAGCAAAACTCGGATGTTCGCTTTCTTCCCAAGACCTGCCCCTTTCCTCTGAAGGGGACCGCAGTTCCTGGTAGAAGTAGGACAGTTTTAGTGCAAAATGCTGCCTTTGAGACAAGGTAGAATTTTATTTTTCCCAAAACGTGACATCGGCTGCCAAGAGCTGGAAGGCGCAGTCCCGGTTCCGGCCCTCCTCGGCGCCTGCTCCCACCAGCACTGCCAAACTCTGCTCCATCGTTATTACCCCTGCAGAAGGGAGAAGCGAACAGGGAGGAGGAGCTGGGGCTTGAGGGTCAGAATGAGCCCCAGGTGCTGTATCAGTACACCCCAGAGAGCGAGATAGGAAACCACAGCTCGGCTCCGACCGTCTGCATCACCCCGAGCACTTACTCAAGCTACAGCTAAAGCTTACACAAGAAACCAGCGCAGGAATTACAATACAGGCATTATTTTGTTGTAGAAGTCAAAGGTTTTAATTTTTTTAATTTTTTTTTTTTTGAGGACAGCTTAAACATCATTTCACCCCTTCCCCACAGCAGCACAGCCTGTTCCTTGACCCCACATCACCTGCTGACAGACGGAACGGAGGCAGCCGAGGCAGGCACTGCCCCATTCCACAGCCATGTTCAGCGTACCTCTGCCAGGCCGATGTCCTTCCAGCTGTTCCAGCTGTAGGTGAGCTCCACAGGTTACTGATGCGGTCGATAACAGGCTCACAGGCTTTCAGTTACACTTCTCAGGGCAGAATATCTGCTACCTAAGGTTCACAATTGAAGTTGCACAACACAACGAGTTCCAAAAAAACCAAGCTACAAACAAGCAGAGAGTAGTGGTGCTTCAACATCGGAAGGTTTACGACAGTTTATCAACTCTGACGCTGTACAAGTTCCAAATCCTGTTTCTCTGACCTTAAGCATTTGTGGCAAAATGTTAAGCTGTTTCCTAACGCTGTAGACTACAACAGGACTGCTCACCCCTCACGGCAACCCTCGATACCCAGGGTGTGCCTCAGTACGTCCCGCACAACCACCAAAGTCCTCAGCTCCTTGATTAGGGACTCTGTAACGAGGATTTCCACACATGCACACCCTCTCTCTCACTTGGGGCTGGCCCTCGCCTGTACTTCAGGATGGACAAACCCAGAACTAGTTCTAGCTTAAGCACAGGCTACATCTCCACTTGCATTAAATACATTTATTGCAAACATCTTTACACAAAAATAGGTTCTCTCTAGGCCATTCACATGCAACTTAAAGGCAAGAAGCAACTACCTGTAACAATACAGCTATTTAACCTATACAAGTTTAATGTTTGCCACACTTGGTAAAATTATTACATCTTCTTAGAACTGCTTATCCATGCGCAGCTCCTTCAGCGACGTCTGCGGGGGGCTCAGGAGCCCGAGGTGTTGTTGCTTCCAAAGCGCTGATTGACGCTGTGCAGCAAGTGCTTGGGGAGGCAATTCCAGGAACTGGCCAGCATCTCCTTAAAGCAAATGACTGCTTCGAGGCACAGCCTTGGGGAGAGGGAAGAGACGGCCGCTGTTAGCATGAACAGGGGCTGCAAGGTAAGCTCAGGCTTTACAGCCGCTTAGCGAGGGCTTGTTCTCATTGTCAGTGCCAAACACGTTCTTCTGACAGGAAATCTGGCTCTAGCATAATTGGCTGCTGTTCTTTCAGCATTTTTTTAGAGGAAGAAATGTTTTCAAGTATTTTAGGAACATAAGAAACAGGTCTGGCGGGAACCCGGCACTGCTCGTCTTAGATGGAGACAGGACAGTTTAACGTTGAAGTCTTGCTTACCTTACGAGAGATCTTGGTTGCAGAGAAAACACAAGTATTTCGTTACTGTGAGCCTGGGGGTGGGTGGGGAGGGACAGAGAGAGAGAAGCAGTTTGGTTACGCGGATTCACATTATTGCAGCAGGAGCCCAACCAGCCAAAGCTCACACAAACGGACCCTGGGAAGGAAGGCAAACGGCACGGCTCGAGGAGGGGCTGGCGGTGGGGGAGCAGACGGGCCTTCACACAAATCACAGAGGCAGCAGCCAAGCTGAATGCAGAATTCCTCGCCAAACCCTACAACGTGGGAAGTGATGGGCACTCGGGGAGCTACAGATGAATCAAAAATAACTCTAGTGCCACTTCACACAAACAGCGGGAGGGGAATGGGCATCTCCTGCGGCTGTCGGGCAGGGGACTGGGTTGGGGGGAGGCCTGGCCAGGCCGGGGAGGGCAAGAAGCTACAGTCAGCACAGGTGCATCGGGCGGGGGGCCCTGTGAGCCCCACGTCCCAGCTCTGACCCTGGCCAACACCAGCGCTAGGGGGGGGAGAGCACAGGACCACCACCTGCGGGCAGTTTCCAAGTTTTCAGGGCTCTGCACTGAGGGACCTGGGACATGGGGACTGTATCAGGCTTAGCAGTCAATGGCGTTTGGTTTGGTTTTGGGTTTTTTTATATGGTTATGCCTCCTCCTTGAATGCACATAAGCCTATCCGCTGCCAGTGCATAAAGAACTGTTACACCGCTTTCGTTCGCCACTCGCCCCTTCCAGCTGACGCCCACTGGTTCTCACACTAGAAGGTGCGGGCACACTTGTTCCCCGTCTCCAGCCAACTGGTGATTTCACAGACCTTAGGACAGCCCTGTCCTGGCTGAAGAGCCCCTCTCTGCAGGCATCGCAGTCAAGAAATTACCTTGGGAAGGGCTCCCTAAAAACACCCCCAGGAGAAGCACAGGGAAAAGCTAAAGAAGTAGCTGGGAGATAAGAACAGGCTCCAAGTGAAACACACGTGTGAAGGAAAGTGAGTCATAGTTTGTTTAAATAATGAATAATGACTTGCTTTCTAGAAAAGCAGCCAAACACTTCCCCTCCGAGCTTTGTTTATGCACCTTTGTCAGGCCTCACGAGATCATGCTGCCGACTATGAGCGTTTCACGCTCGCTGGAGTGAGACACCACGGCTCCCGCAGGAAGGGCCGGGCTGCACAGGAAGGGAAAGCTCAAACTAAACTTACAGCTTTAGAATGGGCCAGTAAGTTGTTGGCACAGCCCCCAAAGACGATCACCTCTCCCTCTTCGCTTGCACAAGCGGTATGCCACAACCTGGAAACAGAAGGCAGCACTGCATTAAACCAAAACCACACCCCACCCAGTAATGCACCTTCGGGATTTATATTTAAAGTTAACACATGCAAGTTTGCCCCTCCACCAGTACGCTGTAGACTAATTCAACAGGATTTTCTGTGCAGAGAAAGAAAACCGGTCAGCAAATCACGGGCTGTGTAAGGGGTCCTGGTTAGAGCGGGGCTGCAGAGCAGCGGGGCTGCAGAGCGGCGGGGCTCAGTGGCACGCTGCCTGCAAGTGCAGGTATGCGTGAAAGCCACAGTCCCGTCGCTTCTGGAGGACGGCTGTAAGGATGTGCTTGTACAAACTTTATTTTCATGTCCCGCTTGAGTCAAAAGACCGAAGGAATGCTGTCAGATGTTGCACTGTTCTCCTAAGACCCGGGGAAACAACTCATCTCACAGGCGCATTCAGCAACAGCACGGCACTGTCCTGCTGCTCCAAAGCAGGGATGGGCAGGCCCCCCCCCCAGCAGCTCAGCCTTGTTACTGCCCCAGGAAAAGAGACCCCCCCCATCCCCACCAGCAGCAACAGCAAGGCCAAGGGGGGCAGCTGAGCAAGCATCGCTGCTTTAACTCATCTAACCTCGATCAGAACACTTCCCCAAACAAGACGGATCACAGTAGCTCATGTGATGTGATGTGCCATACACATGCACAACAGTAGTCTTGCTGCTTTTAAATTGCAGGTCATCCTCTCTAATTAATTTACGCAGCAGGATGACAAAAACATCTTGGGTGTGCACAGGATTAGCCACCAGCGAGGATGCCCAAAACAGTGACACCCGCCTGCGTCCAGTTTGCTGGCAGAGCAAGAAGACAGAGGTTCTGGTTAGCTCCTGTGCCGGCCACCACAGCTCAGAGGGCCCTGCAGCCAGGAGCTCAAACCCTCAATCCCCGTGTTCCCTGCCGTTTCACAAACCCTGAGCTTTACGCTACCCCCAGCACCAGGCCTACAGGGGTATTCATCTCGCATTTTGTGTGCGCGTTCCATGCACCTGCACTTCTGGGGCAGAGGCCAGCATCAGTAGCGTATCCTTAAGAAAAATGAGTGCTGTAAAGAGGAATGCGCGTCCTCTCTTTGACGGCCAACATTAAATTTTTTAAAATAAGTTTCCAGGAAAGCATCTACCATACCTTGGTTTTTCAGAATAGTTATGCTCAAACTGTATCCACTCATTCTTGCTGATACAATAAATCCAAGCATCACCTGAAAACAAGCAAAACCCCAAATACAAACAGTATTGTTAGTTCTTTCACGTTTGCTGCAATAAACATGTACTCCACTGTAACACAGTCCCTTTTTGTTCTTAAATAAATCAAGTACTTTAGGAAAAACCTTATGAAATATTGGACTACCTGTTTGAAAACAGGTGTTTAATAGTGGTTTATGGGAGTGAAGTCAGAGGGGAAAGATGGGTAACTCTAAAGCTCTTACTAATTGCAATTTGCATTAGATGATACATTTTTAGAGCAGATCAATTTCTCTAAATAATAGGGTCTCAACGCACTCAGTGACTCCCGCTCTGGGAAATTAGCTGTTGACCATAAGGAGTTGGCATGGAAGGAATTTAGCAAGAATTTAAAGTGATGGGGCAATAATTCAAGCTTCTGTGCACAACTGTTCAAGAACACAAAGACAACACAAAATTCTTTTGGAAGGACTTACTTAATGGCTGCTTGTCAGTAGTGAATCCTCCAAAGAGAAAGAGGTGATCTGAGGAAATTGGTGTCAAAGAATGCCACGATCGGCCAACTGGGCAAATGCCTTGTGTGATTCTGTATTTCAATAAAAGCACCATAAATTACAGATGTGCTACAATAAAATACCGCTGCTTTTTTCTGCTCTGATTATTTTTCAGGTATTTGAAGGATGCAGCTTCATACTGCACAGAGCTCATGACCCAACAGCAAGTGTCATTTCTTTAGGCACAGTAAAAGAATTTTACTCCTCTCAAAACTTAAAAAAGCCCAACAGCAGGAGTCAGCAGCTGGTCAGGAGGATCAGTTCTACTTGAGTTTACTTACTCGCTGGAGTTTCACTAGAATGATTAGAAGTGAATAAAAATGGTATCTTCATATTGCTTTACAAACAAAAGAACTCAAGTTTTAGTACCTACATTTCATTCCACTCCCATGTATCCAAATTCAGATAGTAAAGATCGTTCATTCTGGACTCCTACAATAAAGCAGACCATGGCTGAAATACTCTGTTTAGGTTTCAGTAACGCATCGTTAAACTGGGCTGAGGCTTACTCTGTATCTGCCACCAAACACGTAGCCTCTGTTCCCAACTGTAGCACAGGCGTGAGCTGCTCGGGGTGACGGAGTTTTACCCTAGGAGAAGAAAATGTGAAATAAGGAGGTAAATTTATTGGCTACATTAACAAAAGAAAGAAAATGCCATTTCACCAGAAACCTGCAGTAGATCAAGTAAAGAGGAGCTGAGCTGAAGACGCCCATCTCACGCAGGAAGCAGCACGGCTACAGCCGCACCAGGCAGCCTGGGAGGCGTGGGGCAAGAGCAGATGTGGCGGGGCAGGGGCCGGGCTCCTCTCCGGCCTCTCAGAGAGCTCAGCTGGACATCGCACTCAAGGCAAAGCAAGGTCTCACAGTTCCATAAATCAGTCACCCGAGGAGATGAAAGGCTGAACTAGAGTCAGATTTCAGGCCAACAAGGAACAGAGAGTGAAAAAACATCCAATAAGTTATTCTGTGTGCACAAATTTGCTTTTTTTGATGGATGGAAGATCAGAAAACTCATTAAAAATGGGATATTTTTTCCCCCCTCTTTAAGTGTCAAGATACAAATTTTGCTTTTGGAAGAGAGTTCAGAGACAGATTTCAGGCCAACAAGGAACAGAGAGTGAAAAAACATCCAATAAGTTATTCTGTGTGCACAAATTTGCTTTTTTTGATGGATGGAAGATCAGAAAACTCATTAAAAATGGGATATTTTTTCCCCCCCTCTTTAAGTGTCAAGATATAAATTTTGCTTTTGGAAGAGGGTTCAGAGAGTCACAGAAGACCTCAGACTGTAAAGGAGACAATGACATAATACATCATTAAGCAGTATTTTTCTTGAGTTATTTCTGAAATATTTGAGATCTGTATGTGTGTGGTAAGACAAAGCAATTCTTTGGTAATCTGAATAAGAAGTTACTTATCTCAAATTTCATCTCCTCCAATTCTACGGCAATATCACTCCATTTGCCTCTTCCTGAATACTTCTGGGACACTTTAAAGGGTGTATATTTGCAATTACGGAGTGTTACGTTTTGGTTTGACCACCATTCAGCCCCCAAGTGTAATGTACCAAACCATCACATTACAGTGAGGATGCCAGGAAACCATACATTTCGTTTTCCTGAGCTCCCCGTGAGCACAATGCCACTGAAGCATGAAAGCAAGCAAGTCAACAGGAAAAAAAGATGAAGAGAGAAAGACAGATCAAAATAAAAGGCAAGTTTCCTGTCTTTGGAGAGGAGAGAGGCCCTAGGTAAATGAATGGTTTAAATTCAGTTTCAATGGCCTCAAGAATGCTAATGAATAGGCAGCAGGTAATTTTTATTTTGAGGGGATGTTTCCAAGGCTAGTTCTACCAACAGTGTTTCAAACCCCTCTCCTAACAATCCCTCCCCTACAAGCACGTTGTAGGCAAGACTGCAAACACAAGCGAACGACATCTCATGGCACCCGTATATAGAAAAGAAATTATCAGTCCCACTTCACTGGCAAGAGAGGAAGGTACAGGGAATTAAGACAGCTCGCTCAGGAAGCGCAAGAAGGGAAGAGAACCCTGGTCTCGCAGTCCTAAGCTTTAGGTCCTGGCCAGGTTTCCTCCCCTGGTTGGATCAGACAGACTGCATGTCCCAGGAGGGAAGGCAGAACAGCAGAAACCAGCAGTGCTTCCCGCCAGCCACAGCTAGAGCCAGCGGCCTGTGATTCATCCCACGGAGAAAACAAACCTAGCAAGCACCACTGAGACAAGATCGGCTCCACACCGTCCATTTGTGGAGTCTCCATCTCATGACCCTGCAAGGCATTTCTCAGGTCCTCCTGCTAGCTAGCACTAGGTATTTCAGAGGGCTCTTCCACCTTTCCTAACTCCTGGCATTTTGGGACTGGTTTATATCCCGAAGAAGGCAGGATGACAGAGCACCTGACAACTAAACACTTGGCAGTTAAAGACTGGTGACATGTAAACAAGGCTGCAGGGTGGAGCTGGAAAGCAGAAAAATGTATTTTGGGTGAATTTCCATGCTTCTTGCTTGCTTCTGGCTTATCACATCTTCTAAAAAAACACCATGGAGATACTAGAGATAGGACCTCCCCATGAGATACAACAGGTTAAGAGAGCTTCTCCCTGCAAGTTCACTGAGCACACAGCCAGGCGCTCAGAACATCTGTGGCCCAAAGCCACTGCAGCTGGGGGACAGGCCGCTATTGGCCCCGCACAGCTGCGCAAGGAGGCCATTTTATCAGCACCTTCTTCTAACTTGACACAAATTAAAGCAGTGAACCCAGGCCTAGCAGAGCCATGCTTATTTTCACAGGATGCTAGAAGAGCTACAGCATGCAACGCACACATTTCTTAAGAGCTGTAACTTAAAATAATTGACATAAGACTAATCATTACCGTAGTTATAGGCTGACTCCAAGTAAAAGTTTCAGTGTCCAAAACATGCACATGGTCGTTCCACCCTCTAGGAAGACCTGAATTCTTTAAAAATATTAAATAAGCAACAAGTTTTAATAAGCACTAATCAAATGCTAAAGTTTAAATAGAAATTACTTCAATGTTTACTTACCCAAAAAGAGGTTTCATCAAATTCAAAAGTTCCTCGTTGCTTCCCTTCAGGAAAATAACCATAGCCTCCAAAAAATATTAGCCTGAAACAAAACATGCATCAAGATCTATTAGAAATGCTATCCCATCTGTTGCTACAAATTAAAGTTCTGTAAAGGCTGTGCTCAAACAGAAGACAGGAAAACCAGGGAAGCTTTTTGGCTTCATTACTTCCAGTATGTCTACAACACAAGTTTTCCAGGTGTGGGGCCCTGTTTCTTGCCTCATCAACCCTACCACCCACATTAAATCCCTCTGTAGCTGTCTCCCAAGCCTCAGGCTTCCAAGCTTTCCTCTAGTTCCAAATGTGTCAAGCTACCAGGCCTGCTGGCTGGTCGCTGCGTTTCAGCCTTCACTACTGGAGCTCCCAAACAGCAGCTACAGGGGTTTATTCCTGCAGTTTCCTGACTCTGCCCTTTCCAAGCCCTCTGCCCGTTTTCCCTAAGCCCACGCTGTTCACAGACACTCCTGTAAGAAGCAAAGGGAAAGCATTACAACTTGGGCACGGTCACTGCAGAGGTGTGTGCTAGGCAGGGCAGGGCAGGAGGGGACCAAGGGATGCTACATGCAGCAGACCCTCTACCACTGAAGCTGCTTGGGAAGTTTTTAGTTTCGGAAGAGGAAGACATTTTCCTTTGCACTTGTTGCATTTTGTTTCAAAGCCTGAAGAACAGTTGCTATGAGCAGTAACTCATCTGTTTTTACTGTTCTTTTGTTCTTTAAAATGTAATTAATGTTTGGGTTTTAGCATGTATTAGAAACTAATGGCATGGTTTCACCAGAAATTCTTGTTGAAGTAACAGAAAAGAATCTACACCTAACTAAATACCCACAACTCCAGTCTTGCACAGATTTACATCTAAACTGACCACATCAAATATCCTAAAAATAAGCTTTCTCTCCACATCAAGAATCTGAAAACTAGCATCATGGGCAATTCCCTATCTTTCCTGAGTCTCTGCAGCAAATCACACAGCAAATATCGCAACAGTGAGCTTTCTCTCCATGCAACGGACAAAGCAGCACAAGCATCTGTAGTGTTACACACCAAAATCACCGTACGTGGCTCAAACAGAAGGACATACAGCATCCCTGATTTCCTCTGCCTCAGCAGAGCCAGAAACGATATGGTCAAGACCAGCTGTGCTAACAGGCAGGAGACGCCTGTGCCGTCCAGGTAAGGTTTTGTAGGTAACAGCTTAAACCCCTACCCTGACGTGACACGTCAGTAAGAACCTGTAACCCTTGCCAGTTGTGACCAAAGAAGAACTAGAGGCCCCTGACTGTCACCTCATATTCGCATCAGACCTCCTCAGCCCCCGGCATCACGTACCCAAGCAGCACTGCCCACGCCGGGCATCTGACCCACAGCCTGCGGAGAGAGCCCTGCTCTGCGGGGATCAGCCTTTCCAGCTTCTCCTCCAAAGGGACAATTCTGGCCATGCCAGTTGTCACCTGTGCCAGAGCATTTTGGAGACGTGTCCTCTAGAAGCCAGGAACCCTCTGAGAAACCAGCCCTGGGTAGATGCTCCAGTATGAGAGCCAAAAGCCCTTCCCTGAGATAATTCACTTCCATCCCCAACCTCCTGAGCAGCTGGGATACAGCAAGTCAGTGGTAGGAGGAAACTACCTACCTACAGCAGGGTCTTCCCTCAGTCTATCCCCTGGTGCCAGAAGGCTGGAACGATCTCATCACGCAGCTCCCTGCTCAGAGGACTAGCACTACACTAACTGAACGGAGGAGGAGCGTGCAAGGGCAACAGCAATGTTCTGCATGCCAGCTCATCTGGCTTCAACACCTTCTCTGTGTCTTCCTCACCTTTTCCAAGACTGGAAATGCCAAAAGGCCTTCTGGCATCTCTGGGATGCTATCCCAACACGTTAAGTCAGATAACATCAACAGCAGTTCATCTAACACATTCCTCGTTTTGTGCAACCCTCACAAAACACACCGAATTAAGCACCTGCATTGCTGAAAAAGCCACGTGCAATTTTAAGACCAAAATGGCTTCCTGCTCTTCACCTATCAAAGAAATGCCAGCTGTCCCACAAGACATGACCAAAAGATTGCATTTTGTGCGACACGGGGAATTCTTCACAGGATTATTCTGCAAAGAATAATTCCTGACGCAATTGCCAAGAGGAATGATGCTGTTACAACTGACCACGATGCAGTGCCTTTGACGAGATATACTGAGAAAGCACCATGGAAGATTTGGTTGTAATGAGCCTCCATTTTGGACTGTGACTCACACAGATACTTTGCAGCTTACATATACCCAAATTGGGAGTGAGGTTTTTCACTTATCAACCGTTAAAGGACAGAACAGTTTTAAAAGGCTGGCTGGGGAAGAAATCCAGCATCTTCCTGAAGCACACATGTGCTGCAGACAAGAAGTCCTTCTGCAGCTTTTGTTCAAACAAAAAGACATGACAATTGCAAGACTAAGAGTGATTACAAGCAAACACACACGCAAGGATAGCTGTGCTGACTTCATTGCTGGAGCCTTACTTGTTTTTGTAAACCCAAACGCCAAGTTTGTCCTTTGATGAAGGGGGTACCCCCTGACACTCTACTCTGACCCACTGCAGCACTTTGTCCGTGGATCTGGAATTTAACATGTAGAACTGTAGAAAATAAAAAGATTTTTTTTACCCACACAGTTAGCTTAAAGCTTAAGTCTGACTGATGTTAAAATATTAACTTTTAATTAGCACGTACTGGTACAGAAATAAATTAAAAGTTCTTTTCCTAGCTGCACAGAGCATTGACAATGTTTGGAACAAAATTTGGATCCAAAGATCCTTATCTTTTTGCAGACTCAAGCCCCAAACGCTTTTTACAAAAGTAACAGGACTATGGACATTGAGTTTTACTATCCAAAAGCTGACATGGGATACAATGAAGGTGTGTACAAAATAGCAATTGTCTTACAATAAAAAATAAATCTGGTAAAAAAAAAATTTATTTTTTTACTGTATGACCCCTTCTCTGCATGTTACGTCATTTCACATGGAAAGAAATAGCCAATACACATATATAAACTAACTGAAATGTAACAATACCACAGCGGGAAGGAAGCAAGTCACGCTTTAGAAATACAGTTTGTTTCAGACTGTTTGCAAACACTGTATCAAGCTACTTTCAATTTATATTTAAGAGCGAGGCCAAAACTTATTTAATTTAAACCACACTTCCAGAACATCAAAAGGTATTATCAGAGACTCCAGAGAAGAATAACATTTCAAACTACAGAGCAGTTACAAATCACCTCCTGATATCATTTCAGTGAACTCTGCAAATTCCCATCTTTCAAAAGCAGCAAACTCAAAAGCACCAATGGAATACAATTTACAGGGTGAATTGCACAAGAACAAGTGCAACCAAAACAAATAATAGGTCACAGTGTTTCTTCAGCAGTGTAAAGCTACCAGAGTACAATCATCATGTGAAATGATGCAGAGCTGAAGGCTGACCTGTTTTACAAACGTCATGTTATCTGACCTGTTGCAGAGAAATTAATACACTGAACTGCTAAAAGTCAGCCAGCTAATCACCTGCATGGAAAAAAAAAATCCAAGCAGTGAGCACCATATTTTGTTAGTCAAAACCGCTTAGGTAAGCACAAAAAGAACACAGCTTTGATTAGTTCACATCTGGGGAAGCTGCTGACAGGAAGAAAAAGCTGGTTATCTGCTTCCAAGAACTAGAGATACAGCCAGTAGATGAAAATATGCTGCAGAAGCCACAGCAGACACAATGGCTGGATACATGTTCAGCATCCCCTGTTACTAACATTTAAGCTCTGAAATGAGATCAAGTCATTCAGAAGAAAATGCTTCTGTGATTTGTTACGATTATACATTTCTTGCTTTGGATGGACTTCAATTAACTGAAAAGGCCACTTCTAGTTTATAAAAAATGGGAACAAAAGCTAATGAGAAGAAACTTATCTGTGAGGAAGGGTTTATCTTTAAATTACTAACCTTGTTTGTATTGCCACGCGCATGATGTCCTCCAAAGAGGTACACCACTCTGTCTACACACACGGCACAACTTCCAGACATGGAAGGTGGAACATCTCCCTCTGTTTTACTCTTCTTCCTAGAAGAGCAGTTGAAAATATTTTATCTGATAAAAACGAACAATAGTGATTGTATCTGGAGTGGAATTTTATAACACTACTAGTATGTTTTTAATTACAATAGGTCACCGTGGACCATTCAGTTGTGAGTTCTTCACACCCTTGCAGGTTTAACAATTTGCAACACTAACTTGCTATGACAGAGGGGGGTGGGGAAAAGGCAATTTAATTAGTACATGTTTCGTGGGGGAGGAATCCCGTCTGCCCAGTTCAGGAGTTTAGCATGCCTTTCCCTTTCAAAATCCCCAGAAAGATCCTCAGGCAAAGAGGATGCTCCTGTCTAAACGGAAGGTTCCTATTTTGCTATTGCATTTTTAATGTTTGTAACCATTATAACCACAAAGATGAGCTTCCAGCCCCTGTCCAAGGCTCTCCCTAACCACAATGAGGACTGGAAGCACTGCTGAAACTGCCCTTTCTGCAAAGCGCTGAGGGGACTTGGCTTTAGAGCGCAAGGCTCTAGCTAGCTACGGAACTGGAGCACTGGATTCCCTTTCTTTGCACTAATCGGGCACGCAAGTTTCACACAACTTCCAGGCTCCCAATGATCTAAGATGATACAGTAGTTTCTTTGGCTGCATCAACAACAAACAGGAAGTTTATGGAATGTGGAAAAAGGGACAGGCCCCTTAGGAGGAATATAGGAACGCTGTCAGAGCATGCAGGGATGCGATGAGGAGGCCAAGGTCCACTTGGAATTAAATCTCGCAAGGGATGTCAAAGAAAATAGGAAGGGCTTCTGGAAGTACGTCAGCAGCAAAAGGAAGACTAGGGAAAAAGTGGGCCTGCTGTTGAATAAGGTGGGTGCTCTGGTGACAGCGGATACAGAGAAGACGGAGTTACTGAATGCCGCCTTTGCTTTGGTCTTTACAGTTAAGGCAGGCAATGACCTGGATGAAGGGACGGAGCGTACCCTCAGCGAGTTCGCTGGTGGTACCAAACTGGGAGGAGTGGCTGGCA